AATGTTTTTTAACTATCATAATTTTTCTGGCTTTCTAACTGTGCAATAAGAGCCATTAAAAATGTAGCTAAGCTTATCGATGTGTTTCCCATAGGAACAGTTTGAGCTGGAAGCAAAATTGACAATTCTTCATATAGAAAGCACAATTATATAATTATATATTTGATAGATTAAAATTTTGACTTTCTATTGGTTATAAACAATATAGCAGTAAACATCAGAGAGAACTATTGGCAATTTGTGAAAAAGAGGATGTGGCAGGTGGGCATGGCAAGAGAGGTCTGATTTTCTAATTTATGGCTCTATAACCAAATAAGGTTAAAGGCTATAAAAATTATGCTTTGCCTGAGTAATAACTATACTATAGTGAGTAAATTCTGTACATCTCAGAAGGGTGGTAAATAAATTAGAGAAAAGGGAAGACCTAGAGAGCAAATGTCAGAATTCTCTACTAAGGGAAATTGAGAATATTTGTTTATATTGCCTTATAAAATCATGAACTTAAAACTTATATAATATTAAAATTTGGATTATTCATTAAGTTTTGATGCCAAGTTTATTTGTGTATATGTAGTTTAATTACAATTAGAATGTAACTCAGTAAAACCTTGTGACATACATAGAAAAAGATGCCTATAGGGAAAGAGTTAAAGTATTGATGTATTCTGAATCATTATTTTAGGTTATAAACACCCAATTTCAATGTCCATTAATATTAAGTAAATAAAACAGGCTAAATTAAAAAGCTTTATCATCTACAACAAGGCCACAAAAAATTACATTACCTCACTGTAGTATTAGTTAATAATGGTGAGCTGGCACTACCTATTACATATATGTAAAGGCAAGAGAATTATAGAGTGTAGAAAACAAAACATTGTTGTTATGTCTTATTATTATAGCATTATGTAAAAAATGGCCACTGCTAATAAACCTTATGTTTTATACTAAGGACTACAGTGAATTTATTAAATACAACCCATATGCATAATCTTACATGGTGTCAGATTTGTGGATTTAACCCATGCCTCTTTGCTAAATTTAGCTTGAAATTTACTTTTTACCTTCAATGAGCTATCGCTTGATCCCTGTGATGTTTTTTCTCTTTCCAAAAGACATTCTCATTTCTTTACAGCTTTTAGGGAATAACAGACTGAATCTCTCCTAAAAAGTCTGCTCATCTGCAGACAGGTGCATAATGACCTGTCTTCATACATTTATTGGAGTGTATTTCAATGGGTGATTAGTGGAACTTGCTAATGAATTAATTGTTGGGCTTATTAATTATTTACATTCAACTAATCTTTATTCTTAAATGAGAAAATAATTTCATTTTAAGGTATTTTCTAAAAACAATTTCAAACTATTACTTGTTTGATGAGGACCTAGGATGGGACCACTTTGCATTCAGAATTATGAGGAGATAGTGGACCTCCTTCCATTAACAATATACGAAACTGACACTGATCAAAGAGTAGGGCCATGCACCTCCCAACCAAACAGCTTCATGTCAAATCTGAACTGGAATTACAAGTAGGCTCCCACAGAGGTTGGTGCCACTCCTACTGACATCTAAGAAAAACATCCAGGGACCTCAGTAGGAGGGCACCCAACTCTGACTTCTTCTCCAAGAATGAAGGAACACGCTTAAAGACTATTGAGGAAAATCATCTGTCTGCTACCCCAGCGACTAGAAACTGAGGGTGGTAAGGACTCCTGAGCTTCACTAGTAAAGTCTGGGAGGGTAACACATGGTGGGGAGTCCTGAGCTCTGGAAACTGTGCAATAGGTGAACCAAGTTCACTACATTTTTAAAAGCAAACCAATCCTAATTCATTCAACCTGAAGATCAGTAGGGACAGGCATGATCCCCTTTAGCTTTACTCATTATAGTCCGTGAGTGGCAGTCCATAATAATAAGGTAATACCATCTGGTAGACGCCTAGATTGTATTACGGAACACCCCAATTTGACAGAGCCTGCTTCAGCCTGAATTAATTTTAGTGAAAGTGGTTGCTAGTGTGGAATTCAAACAAGAAAGCATACCTGCCTGTGCAACACTCACCACAGAGTGAGATCCAGTGAAAAATAAAGGGACCATAGAAATAACATGATTGAGGAAAATACTCATCTCCTGTTAAAATCTGACAGATGTGGTCAAAATAACTACAGGGGTAGTCAGAAGAAAAAAAACTGCCAGATCATGCAATAATGAGATAGGAAAGTATTAGGAGTAGTCTATATACCAGCCCGGACAATGTCTTCCAAAGGGCAATTCCACCGGGGGGGCTAATGACATATAGATATGATGAGATGTGATATGCAAAAGATTCCTCTCCTGTAACGATAATCCATTATAGGCCACGTGAACAAATTTACAAAACCACCTTGTTAGGGTAATGGGAGATAAGTCACGGTAAACAGAAGGATTCCAAAGAATGACAATCGATTCCTACTACCTCAAAATGAATTAGTATGAGCTACATAACACTTGAGGGCCCTAACAGGACATAACAAACGATCAGGATCAGAGTGGTCATAAAGGTGATAAATGGCTGGCAAATGAATTGGTGAGAAGGATCTTTCCCTTCCCTAGCTGCAGGAGTCTTGGGAAGAAAAGGCCTATTGGGGTAAAGGAAAATAATTTGTAGAATAATAAAAAGTCTGATGCACATGGATTGCAAACAACTCTGACAGATGACATCGACAAGCCAACAACATCAAAAAATACAATTTAAGAAAAAGGTGAAACAATGAACACAAAATAAGGATGAAACAGTGTATGAAAAACAACTGTAAAATCCCAATTCGGTAATTGAAAAGGTCGTTTGGGTCAAAGAATACGAAAGGTTTGAGTAGACAGGATAGTACTGAGGATTCAAAAACCTTTTGATACATGGAATACCGAAACTTAGTGGATAAGGATGCCTTATATAAATCCATCATAGATGAAGTGAGACTCGTCTCAAATACCCAGGTTATAAAACGGGATATGGTAGATACTTTACGATGAAAAGGGTTTAAATTCCTTTTAATACACTACTGATCATAAATATTCCATTTCCATTGATAAACAGCTATGGTTGGCCTATGGAGAGATTTAGTTAAATACAGAGAAACCTTAGAAGTTAAACCCTTATGTCGAGCAAAGTACACATAACTTCGAAGCATGAAGATTGAGTTTCCAAACATCTGGGTGGAAAATGTCTGATCGAAGTTGTCTCAACAGAGACTGCTAATGTGGAAGAGGTAGAGGTGGACATTCCTGCAGATACAGAAGTGGAAACCACGTTTGAGCTGGCCAATATGATGCAATCAAGAGAAATTGACAGGAAGTGGAATGAACCATAGTCAGAACCTGGAGCAATAGCCAAATCAGGAGAAAGGCATACAGATGTAAGCCTGTCCAGTCCTGACAGAATGCATCTACTGCTAATGCTTGAGGATGAGGTATCAGAGACCAAAACAACTGTAGTTGAGAATTCCATGAGTCGCAAAGGCATCAATCATTGGAAACCCAAACTGAGAGCAAATCCACTGAAAAATCTCATGATGTAGCATCCATTCTGTCAGAAGTATCCAGTTGGGTCAAGATAGTGATATGCAATTAAATTCATCACTCCTGGAACATGACATGCTAAAAGACTGATACAATGGAAATAAGAGCCCAGTAGAGTAGATCCAAGGCACCAAAACAAAGATCTCGAGAATGTGTGCCTCCTTGACGAGAAATCTGAAATACTACCGTGGAATTGTCGGGATGCATCATGACAATTTTTCCTTTCAAGAGAGACAGAACTTGAACCTATTGCCTGGTGTACTGCAAGGAGTTCGAGCATGTTGATATGGAGGGTAGACTCGTCTTCTGTCCAAATACCCTGGAACTCCTGACCTTGAAGATAAGCTCCTCCATTCCTGAAGAGATGCATCTGTAAACAGATGGATCTCGGGACGAGGTGGTGGAATGGGTACCCCAGTAGTAGTGTTGTTCTGATCCAACCACCATTTGCAATTGACGATGTTGTTCCTGAGTAATGAGACAGGATGATTCAAAGGATTGGAATGCATGATTCATTGGTCACTCACGCAGTGACCTCTGAAGGGACCACATATGTGCTCATCACAAAGGAATGAGAAGCTTGAGGGATGCCCACATCCCCAAAAGAGAGAAAACCATCCACACAGTAGGAAAAGGACACATAAGTAAAAGCCTGAAGGCTCTTTCCATGGCTTAAAGCATAATAGGGGTTCATTGAGCACAACTTAAGTCAATAATTGAAAAACACATCCAGATGGATGAGATATTGCATTGGTGACAGAATAGATTTCTCCAGAATAGCTTTGACCTTAACAGATTATATTTATTAGTTTCAGACAATTTTATTTGCAGAACAAAAAATCCTTTCTATTGAATGATAAATATACAGCATTTGAAGTTTCACTTAATTATAATCCAAACAAGTTACAAGTTCAGCACAGAAGCAGCAGTAATGCACTACCCAGAAGACTGCAAGAAAATCTGACAGGTCAAATGTGCTACAGTATTTATACAGTTAGATGATATGGGGCTTATCCTAAAATAGATACCAATAGAGATCCTTTTTCTAATTCATACACATACACATGTGATCAAAACACAAATACATGTTATTTTGAAACCAATTATAAAGCAGATATTACTCATGTCATGCATTAGGAAAAGAAAACTGATACACAGTTTCTTGAAATCTTACACTTGAATAAAGAAACTGCTAGACATCTACAATAGGTTCAAAGGAACCTATACAAGTATCAACCATAAAAACTTTAGTACGCAACTCCTTTTTGTTATCTATATGTGCAACATAATAAATGTAAATTTTTTTTGTTTCTTCAAACAGATAACAAAACATTAAAAGCCTTGTTTATAAGCCTTATTTAAAATAACAGCTGCATTATAGAATGTAAAATAACATGTACAAAACTAGAAAAGAAACAGCTTCTGACTGTGCTTTTCTTACCACACCAGTCTGGTCAGGTTTTACACTTCGTAAGGAGACACCATACTCGGTGAACATTTTTCCTCGGTTCTTCCAACTAGGCCTTGTCATGGCAATTGGCTATTACAAACAAACATATCATTTTCATCAACTAAGCAACACAAAACCATCATTTGTTTTAGAACAATCAGTTATGAACTATTTTAAAAAATCATATGATTATTCTTAAGTAGAATTTAATGGTACTTTATTGTGACCATAAAACTAAATGAAAATATTTAATTAATTATGGAAACATTTTGAGCTTCCATTGTCTTTACAAGGTTATAAATATTTAAAGAAAAGATCAGTAGATCTTGTACAACAGTTTTCACCATAGCTACTACCTCACCTTCATGCAAACTCATAACCAGTATCACATTTTTATCACTTAAAACTGATATTTATCTTCATATCATTTGTTACTGTAAATGATTTTGATGTTGCTATGAACATTTAGCAACAACAAACTGAGTAGTAAATAATGATATGATAAAACCATTATCAGTCTTAATGAATAAAAACTGGTTTTAAGAGCAATATTATTTACAAGTTTAGAAGAAATGAAACAAGAAATACAAATATTTTTTTAATTTAAGAACATTTTCAAGAGGATGAAAGTTAAAGTTTACAAATATTTTTTTTTATAAAGCATACTAAAAGAGGTCATGTATCTTTTCAGTATTACTTAGTATATAAAAACAATTAATACAAGTGAAATAATCAAAAAATGGAAATACTCATTTTAACATATGCAAAAATGTAATTGCAAAGTAGCACATGATTTGATGAAATATTCTGCTCAAACTACAGATGAAATGTTCACTGGCTGCCTATATGTAAAAACAACTTTGATGCATCCAAATGGATGCATTAGAAGAAATGTGAGATAATCATTAAACCAAATATTTCAAGAATTTTATAAAGTAGTTATAAAATAAAACAGCAGTCTGCCATTACTACACAATTTTCAGAATTATTCACACATCTTATCACATAATATTACTTAAACTGGTGACATGCACAAGCATCAGATAATATTATAATTATTGTTATCAGCTGTCCAGTATTGATTCTGTTGATATCAATACAGATATTGATAAAATATGATAATCAACAGCCAATATTATGTTACACATATTAAGAACACTATACATTTTACTGAACTTCAGTAAATGTTTTGTCAAGAATTTCCGTTAATGATTCTTCCTAAATGTGTAAAATACAAAGTATATTTAAAAATCCCTCCTTTTAAATATTTTAATAAATTCCAAATGACTGACTGAAAAAAAGCATTCACAGCAAACTATTTAAAACAGAAAACACTTATTTAACTTTGCTGTATATTTTCTGATTTTGGGGTTTTATTTTTCCTATAAATAATATAAAATATAAAAAGCTTGTTATTCTTTCTCTACAAACCTGCTCAAAGTATGATTGTTTGTTTTAGTGCAAAGTTACACAATAAGTAATCAGTATTTGTCCACCACAGGGAATTGAACCTCAGATTTCAGCACTGTAATTCTGTAAACTTTCTGCTGACCCAGCAGGAGAGCATGATCAGTGTGAAGAGCTTAATAACAGGATGCATTTTTCTTTTGCACTTTTCTGATGCTTTTTTCCTCACTAATAGTAGTACTATACAGAAGATAACTGAAGCTTGTGATTTTGAATTCTTGGTTGTCCCTGCTTTTTCTTCCAATAGCCAGCTGGAACCCCAACTGGAATTGAATTAGTAAAGACACATCTTTACTATCAAAGGGGCAAGCAGCCATGTAAAAACACATTTTCATACCAATTTCAGAAAATAGGTTTATTAAGTCTTTCTAGTAATGTACTACACATAGTTGGAATACTTTTCCTTTGAGTGGGAGGCCCTCTCTAAGTAAAACAAGTATTAAGAATGTTAATGCTGGAGATAATAAAAGACAGAGGCATCAACACTGCCCATTTCTTCAATTAGATTGGTAGCAAAATGACACAGTCCAGTACTGAGACTTGGAATGCATTCATGTTTCCTGAAGTACACATTGGTAGCACACCTTTGCTCAAGCATTCTCTGCAGCATGTGTAAAGTGAAATTCCAGCATGTTGAAACAAACTATGATGCCATATTTGGGAATGTCAAAACCTTTCTATATTGTCTATAAATGCTTCTTGGCCAGCACAGAATGATTGAAACAAAAAAGTTGAAATCCTAGAATATCTACCACTGCTTTTTGACTGGAAGCTCAAATAAATGATAAATTGCTGTATGTCAGCCATGTAACTGAAACTATATATATCAATTACATTCATCCTTTTACTAGGTTTGACTTCAACGTCCCTCAGAAATAAAACTACTCTATTTCTGTTGATTTTTTAGTGATGTTATACATTATGAACAGCTGTCTTTTCCACCTCAATTTAATGCAGTGTGCAGTCTGTAGCAAAAAATATATAGTGACCAACATTTTCTGTTGCCATAAGAGAGACTATTCTTTTTCCATTTTACTGTATACAGTATCTTAAATTCCCAATTTCATTTTGATATTTCAGTTACAATAAACAAGACACTGAAGAAAACCAAAACTCGACACAACTATAAATCAACCTAAAATAATCTGCATTCCAATGCTTTACTTTGTAAAACAGACCTGTAAATGTTGCTTGCTTTGCAGTCACCTTTGAAGCTTTCCTTATGTCTTACTCTGCTTTGTTTCCTTGTGCTTCCAAATATTCTTCTGGATCATGGACTTTAAGATTACTCAAGGTAAGGTATTTTTCAGCTTTGCATCTTTGTTTTTGATGTTGATTATAGCATAGCAAAATGGCTCTGCTACAAGCCTGTTTTGATTCCAATCAAATAAAATCACTCAGTGAACCTCATTCCTCTTCACAAAGATAAATACAATTTTTAATTATTTTCCAAAACATTCCTTTGTGCTTAGTTTGTTATCTATCATTTTATTAATTTCTACAGAACTTTTTTGTTATAATGTTTTGTGTGTGGGTCAAAGAGGGACAAATGCTTCTCACCACCCCTGATCTTCAACCAAAATAATTCCCATTACCTTACCTTCTATGAGGGTAAAGAGACATTTTTAATCTGAATATTCTAACCTAAAACAAAAGCCTTGATTATGTATACTTAAGTATATTGCCAATAAGAAATCTTAAGAAAGCAAAATGTTCCAACCTGAAAAAAAAGCAAAGGTTTGTTTACAACTTAGGTCTTAAAATTCTGATGTTTACACTGCACAATCAAAAAAATTATTTCTACAGATTTTTGAAAATTAAATTATAGAATATTTCCATATCTATATTATGATATCTCTAGTGACAATCTATGCATAAAACCCAAATATATATACTGATATTATCAGTGAAATTTTATATCAGTCAAACTATAATTGTAATAGCAAGTATAGCATGTCAATTACTGTTTGAGTGTTCAACTATTTTTGTTGTACTGATACTGAAATAATCTTTGTTTATTGCATATAAAAAAATTATTGAATTTTTAACACATTTGATGCTTTCAGAGTACTCAAGTGTTTTATACAGGCAATTTATATATAACATATTTAATCATTGAAGATTTTGTAAGCAGTTCCAAGTGCTTTTACTGACAAGTAATTCCCATAATACTTAGCACATAGATTTTAATTTCTTGACAATCCACTTGAGAGTAAATAATTTATTTAAATAAAATGTTGTAATTCTCATATCTTGGCTTAGTCAGATTCATTTCATCACTATCAGTTTTATTTACTGCTTCTATCTTTTAGGGAAAAGGCTAAAGAAAATTCTGAAAATCAGCAGATTCCCAATATGTAATCTTGGAAATTGTAATGAACCCTAAAATTCAAAGTCATTATCATACACTAATAAAGATAATTGCATAAAAAGCAATTATTCACATATAAGCCTATCTACATAAAAAAAATCTATCATTCATTTCAGCAGAATGCCTAGTCTTAAATATTTTTCAAACCTCTTCTAATTCTCTAATTAGGAGAATGTCAATGACAAAATCTTTATGTTATTGATCAAATGATACTGGTAATTGAAAAAATAATTTTGTTTTATCCTTTATTGGCCAAAGACATTCCTTGAAGTGTTCATTTAGTCTCTCTGACTGATTTTTCTTCAATATTCAAGCTGTTGCAGCATATTCAATCTGTAAGAGATTCATTTCTAATGTAATCTTTTCATTAACACTGAAGATATATTTTAAATTGTATTATATGTCAATATAAAGGTTAGATAAATATACAAGATGAATGATGCATACTTTCTTAATGACCAGCAATTTAAAATTCTTATCTGGTTTTATCTTTTAATCAAACAAGCTGTTTTATATGTTACAACCAGAGTGAATGGTGGCAAAAATTTTATGTGAGAAAATTTAGTTGACACAAAAGTATTCTTGTATAATGTGTCCAAGACAGAAATTTAAAGGATAGTAGTACATGATGAGAGGAGTTAAGTTACTTTGCATTTATGTTTTCTTCACCACTGAATTAACAGATAAGAAATTCCCTTTTTTCTTAAACATGTTTTGATACTTTTGATTCTTCAATAAAATTGAATATCTTTTGACTTAACTTCAAAGGTACAATAAAATCATAGAAAGTGAACCTTTGGAATTTAAAAAAGTAACAGGGATACTCATAAAGGATGCTTCATTTGAGGAAAATTAGTGAGTGTATTTTAAAACAGTATGATAACATTTCATAAAATGTACAAAATCTCATATTTTCCAAAATTACATGAAGCTATTCAAGTAATATCATTGATTTAACATTTATATATTTTGGAGAAATGCCTTGTAAAACTTTGTATAGTTTTTCTTCAGTATAACAAACAAACAATTTAGTATAGAAGAATCTCATGTTTGTCTCCATCCAAATGTACAAGTGTTAAAATACACATTGTTAAAGTAAGATGTTTCATGTCATTAAGTGGACAGGTACACTAGAAAAAATGTAAACCAAAATCAACCTTTAACATTAATGAAAAAATTAATACACGGTACCCCAATATGTAATTTATTGTGCCCATTGCATGTGCAACATGTATGCTGGAGAAATGTC